GTCCCGCACACCCATTTCGGCACACCCCTCACACGTTTCGTGGCCCCATAGGGAGCTCCACCGAAGGCCCCATGGCTGCCGTCCGCATGCGTCCCGCACACCCATTTCGGCACACCCCTCACACGTTTCGTGGCCCCACAGGGAGCTCCACCGAAGGCCCCAGTGCTGCCGTCCGCATGCGTCCCGCACACCCATTTCGGCACACCCCTCACACGTTTCGTGGCCCCATAGGGAGCTCCACCGAAGGCCCCATGGCTGCCGTCCGCATGCGTCCCGCACACCCATTTCGGCACACCCCTCACACGTTTCGTGGCCCCACAGGGAGCTCCACCGAAGGCCCCAGTGCTGCCGTCCGCATGCGTCCCGCACACCCATTTCGGCACACCCCTCACACGTTTCGTGGCCCCACAGGGAGCTCCACCGAAGGCCCCAGTGCTGCCGTCCGCATGCGTCCCGCACACCCATTTCGGCACACCCCTCACACGTTTCGTGGCCCCATAGGGAGCTCCACCGAAGGCCCCATGGCTGCCGTCCGCATGCGTCCCGCACACCCATTTCGGCACACCCCTCACACGTTTCGTGGCCCCACAGGGAGCTCCACCGAAGGCCCCAGTGCTGCCGTCCGCATGCGTCCCGCACACCCATTTCGGCACACCCCTCACACGTTTCGTGGCCCCATAGGGAGCTCCACCGAAGGCCCCATGGCTGCCGTCCGCATGCGTCCCGCACACCCATTTCGGCACACCCCTCACACGTTTCGTGGCCCCATAGGGAGCTCCACCGAAGGCCCCATGCTGCCGTCCGCATGCGTCCCGCACACCCATTTCGGCACACCCCTCACACGTTTCGTGGCCCCACAGGGAGCTCCACCGAAGGCCCCAGTGCTGCCGTCCGCATGCGTCCCGCACACCCATTTCGGCACACCCCTCACACGTTTCGTGGCCCCATAGGGAGCGCCACCGAAGAAGATATTCACAAGTGCGGTACTCTCAACTGCATATGGTTGGGTCCTTCGCCAGGCTAATTTTTTCTGCCTTTTGGCATCCCGATGCTCCAAGCCGGCTCAAGAGGCTTCCAATACCCGTCCCATTTAGAGGAAGAGGCCTCCAAGAGGGCCCTAAGACGGCCCGCGATGGCCCCAAGACGGTGCTTGAGGCGCCCAAGACGGCCCGAGAGGGCCCCAAGAGCCCCAAGAGAGGCCCAAGAAGGGGAACGCGACCCAACAGCAGAGCGGTCCCCCCACAAGGCCCACAGGAGGCCGCAAGAGGCCCCCAAGTGGTCCGACGAGGACCCCAAAAGCTTCCCGAGGGCTTAAAAGGCCTTTAGGAGACGTCCAAGAGGCTTTAAATTAGCCTGGCGAAGAACCCAATCATATGCAGTTGTCAGTGCCGCAGCTGCGGGTTTCATCTTCAATGGAACTCCCCATAGGACTACGGAACGTGTGAGGGGTGTGCCGAGATGGGTGCCACTGGGGCATTCGGCGAAGCTCCCTATGGGGACATGAAACACGCGCGGGGCGTGCCGACATGGGTGGCGGAAACGCATGTGCGGGCCGCCACTGGGGCCTCCAGTGGAGCTCCCTATGGGTCCCCGAAACATGATGCTGCTGCGGGGGGGGGGGCCGGGATGGGTGGCGGAGACGCATGTAAGCGCCGCTACTGGGGCCTTCGGTGGAGCTCCCTATGGGGCCACGAAGCGCGTGAGGGGTGTACTGGGATGTGTGGCGGGGACGCATGTGAGCGCCGCCACTGGGGCCTTCGGTGCAGCTCTCTATGGGGCCACGAAACGTGTGAGGGGTGTGCCGAATTGGGTGCGGGTGGTGACGCATGCGGGCGGTGCCACTGGGGCCTTCGGTGGAGCTCCCTATGGGGCCACGAAACCTGTTGTTGTGAGGGGCGTGCCGGGATGGGTGGCGGGGACGCATGTGAGCGCGGCCGCTGGGGCCTTCGGTGGAGCTCCCTATGGGGCCACGAAACGTGTGAGGGGTGTGCCGAATTGGGTGGGTGTGGGTGACGCATGTGAGCGCCGCCACTGGGGCCTCCGGTGGATGATGGGGCCACGAAACCTGTCAGGGATGTGCCGAAATGAGTGTGCGGGACGCATGCGCATGTGAGCGCCGCCATTGGGGCCTTCGGTGGAGCTCCCTATGGGGCCACGAAACGTGTGAGTGGTGTGCCGAATTGGGTGTGCGTGACGCATGCGGGCGGCAGCACTTGGCCTTCGGTGGAGCTCCCTATGGGGCCACGAAACGCGTGAGGGGTGTGCCGAATTGGGTGTGCGGGACGCATGTGGGCGGCAGCACTGGGGCCTTCTGTGGGGTTCCCTATGGGGCCACGAAACGTGTGAGGAGTGTGCCGAAATGGGTGTGCGGGACGCATGCGGGCGGCAGCACTGGGGCCTTCGGTGGGGCTCCCTATGGGGCCACGAAGCGTGTGAGGGGTGTGCCGAATTTGGTGTGGGGGACGCATGCGGGCGGCAGCACTGGGGCCTTCGGTGGGGCTCCCTATGGGGCCACGAAACGTGTGAGGGGTGTGCCGAATTGGGCGTGCGGGGCGCATGCGGGCGGCAGCACTGGGGCCTTCGGTGGGGTTCCCTATGGGGTCACGAAGCGTGTGAGGGGTGTGCCGAATTGGGTGTGCGGGACGTATGCGGGCGGCAGCATTGGGGCCTTCGGTGGGGCTCCCTATGGGGCCACGAAACGTGTGAGGGGTGTGCCGAAATGGGTGTGCGGGGCGCATGCGGGTGGCAGCACTGGGGCCTTCGGTGGGGCTCCCTATGGGGCCACGAAACGTGTGAGGGGTGTGCCGAGTTGGGTGTGGGTGACGCATGCGGGCGGCAGCACTGGGGCCTTCGGTGGGGCTCCCTATGGGGCCACGAAACGTGTGAGGGGTGTGCCGAATTGGGTGTGGGTGACGCATGCGGGCGGCAGCACTGGGCCTTCGGTGGGGTCCCTATGGGGCCACGAAACGTGTGAGGGGTGTGCCGAATTGGGTGTGGGTGACGCATGCGGGCGGCAGCACTGGGGCCTTCGGTGGGGCTCCCTATGGGGCCACGAAACGTGTGAGGGGTGTGCCGAATTGGGTGTGCGGTGACGCATGCGGGCGGCAGCACTGGGGCCTTCGGTGGGGCTCCCTATGGGGCCACGAAACGTGTGAGGGGTGTGCCGAATTGGGTGTGGGTGACGCATGCGGGCGGCAGCACTGGGGCCTTCGGTGGGGCTCCCTATGGGGCCACGAAACGTGTGAGGGGTGTGCCGAATTGGGTGTGGGTGACGCATGCGGGCGGCAGCACTGGGGCCTTCCCTTCGGCGGAGCTCCCTATGGGGTCACGAAACGGTGTACTGGGTGGGTGAAGAGGAGAGGAGGGGAGGAGGAGAGGAGAGGAGGAGAGGAGAGGAGAGGAGGACGCGGGGACCGTCTCTTCAAAACGAGGACCCAACACCACAGGATGGTTGGGAAATAGCCCAAGACTGCCCTCGATGCGTCAAAACTGCTTCCAGGAAGCCCCGGGGAGGCTTCCGGATTGCCTCAATCTGGCCGCAGGTGGCCTCAAGTCGGGCCTCCACGCAGCCAAGACGGCCAATGACGGCTTCAGATTGCAGAACCGATGCCCCCACGGGACCCTCAGACGCCCCCCCAAGAAGCACCCAAGAGGTGCCTCCAACAGCCAGTTGACGAAGCATGCGAAACACCCCAGAAGCTCCTCAGATACCGTCGCGCGCCTGTGCTTGATAGCGTTGTCCAACATCGTCCAGTGCCCCCCCGGCCTGGGCTAGAACCTGAGCGCGCGCGAAGCGCGCGCGATGGTTCTAGCCCAGGGGCCCGAAAACAGCTGCCCGACCCTCCATGGGAGTACCGGGGCTCATTTTCGCTGTGTTTTTACAGGGTTTCGGCGTCCCGGGCCTTGGAGGCCGCCGCGATGGTCCCGGACATGTTCCAGATCCTCGGCGCGGGCTCCAAGACCATTTCGCAGAGGGCTCCAACAGGCTCCAGGGCAGCCCAAGAGGGCTCCAAGACGGCTCCAGGAACGACTGCAGGGTCTCATTTCTCCGGCATGACGGCTCCAGGAAGATTGCATGTCTTATGAGGATGGCTTCCGCCTCTCGCCCCGAGCATCCCAAACTGCCTGAACGGTTCCCACTCGCCTTCCCCAAACCCAGCGCTTGCCCAAGCGCGTTCCGGACGGTCTTCGCTGGAACGCGCTGGAATGATCACGCGCTGCGGTTTCCCATGCCAATGTCCTCGGACGTGGGCGCCCTGCCACGAGCGCGTTCTGGGAAGATGTTCCCGGAACGCGCTGAAAAGATATGGTCACATCTCGGGGACGCTCCCAGCACCTCTGCCCCAGCCTTTCCGGGCAGCCTCCACAGCGCTCCAGGAGGGCCCAAGACGCCCCCCAGGAGCCCCCAGAATGCGAAAGGATGGCCCAAGACGCTCATGAGCAGCCCAAGTCAGCCTGCCGACGGCTCTCGAGGCTCCCAGGTGGCCTCCAAGAGACCCCAAGAAGTCTGATAGGTATCACGGTACGGCCTGAAGAGGCCAAAGTCATATATGTTCAATGGTATTTTCAATGTTTTTGGCTTCTCGCGTTTTCGAGCTTGCACCGGTCCAAGAGCGCCGAAGAGCCTCTATGGGGGTACCGGGGCTCATTTTCCCTGTGTTTCTAAAGGGTTTCCGCGTCTTGGGCCTCGGAGGCCGCCGCCTCCGACCCCTCATGGGAGGACGGGGCGGCCGGGGAGGTCCAAAGTAGTCCAGGAAGGCCTCCAGAGGCTCCCAAGACGGCCCAAGCGGGCCCCGAGTCGCCGAAAGCCCGCTCCAGGACGCCCAAGATAGACCCAAGACGGCCCGAGAGGCCCCCCAAGGCATTCCACGACGCTTCAAGACGCCTCTCCAGAGCGCTTCACGAGGCCGAAATCGTAAATGTTTATCAGGTTTTCGAACGATTTTGGCCTTCCAGCCTTTTCGGCTGCGCGACGTTCCAAGACGGCTCAATAGGCCCCCTCCGTAGCCATTTTGGCTCAAGCCGTTCTGGCCCAAGCTTCTGGACTCAAATCGGTCGCAGCGGGGCGAAGCTGGGCGAGATTCGGTAGCTCAAGTTTTTCTTGCGCGTCAAGGGATGATGCAACAATTCGGCGACATTGACAGCCTACTCGGTTTCCAGACAGAAAGACGAGTCAAGCTTCGTGATTGGAGGTTGGGGGCATTGAATTACGGTCTTATGGCAGCGGGGTTGATTGGACTTTTCGGGTATAGCGTGATCTACAATTGTGACCACTTGGAGCTCAAAGCGATCTCCATGGAGGTGTATGTTTATTACCGCCACACCGACAGTATGGAGAAGGCGAACTTTGGATTGATAAGCTCCGGGCGGTCGAGGGAGAGACCTAGCAATTTTGCGAGCATTCCATTATTTATTGTTCACGAGGAGCAGACAAGAAATGTTTCACGTTATGATTCCACAGGTAAGATTGTGACAGGCGTGTGGCCCTACCTTCAATCGGATAATATCACAGCTTTCAACGATGTCGGGAACAGTAGTTTAGAAGTCGCCATGGCTGCGATTGAGAAAACCGGTGATAACGCACTTGATCAACAAATCATGCATTTCAGCCCAATGGACACGTGTAGTAACGTTCCCAGCAATTTGTCTGAGCTCATTGAGAAGATTGCCGACGCGATGCCAGAAAATACGGGAGTCAGAAATTTTGCCCAGAGGCTGCGCACAGGAGATTTATTGAATGAAGACAGTAGTTTTGACGATAAGATGCTGGATGCAGTTACAGGTGCCCATTTATTCGTCAAATTCAGGGTGACCAACGAGCGCAAGTTTTCTGTTCTGGGCAATGACAACATCACATGCGATGTTGAGCTCGATTGGAGGCAGATGGGTATCGTAAACTTGCTATTCATTGGGTCCCCACTTTTTGCGGATAGCACTCGGAACGTTATTCAGGAATGGTATTTGCCCGTGACCGTATCAGCAGACGTCACAATGTACACGTTTTCATTCGCCAAGCTGGCTACACAATTGGCGGGCTATTCATTCCTTCTCGGCCTTGCAAAATCAGCTGTACTTTTTGTTGCGATGTACGTCATGCCGAAGAAGAAGGAGTACACTGATCTGATATTATTTGCATCAGACGATTTCAATCCAGATAACAACAATGCGCCCTCCGGCTCATCCCGCCATGATGCCGAGACGGCGCTCCTTTCAGAACACGTTCGTACCGTGGGTGAGGCTGCGGTGCCGCCCGCAGCCAGCTGAACAATTTCAAGCATCATTGTAACATTTTCTTTCATTCCCCAAACAGCTTGCTGAACGGGGTGCTGTTGTGGTAGAAACTAGCACCGCGGAGTTTTCCGCGCGCGTGTTGCGTGCGGGACGCCATTCTCTCTGGGCCCCAGGCCCGGCCCGTCTGCTTGCGGTTGCTCCCCATCCTCCTCCTCGTTTTCCTTCCTCCCTGTCTCCTCCTGGGCTCCCGGCTTCAGGCATTAAGGTGGACCTCGTGGCGAGGATGCCGTCCCCATCTCGGCAGGCATTTGAAGCAGAAGGGCGCTTGCACAGCACCGGTTTGATCCACTTTTGCTGCTGTGCAGAGCTGTGCCACGCCCTGCCGCTTAGGCTTCGATACTGTCTTCTCTTCGCGATCTCCGTGTGGAGCCGATGATGCTCTCACGCAGTTTAAGCAGAGGGGCGCGTGCACAGCACCGGTTGATCCACTTTTGCTGCTCTGCAGAGCTGTGCCACGCCTTGCCACTTAGGATCCGATACTGTTTTCTCTTCGCGATCTCCGTGTGGAGGGTGAGTGGCGTCTAATCCCGGAGCAGGCGTGGTGGGGGGTCCCGGAGCAGTTTTTGCCGTCATCAACGGACTTTCCCGGGCGAAAGCCGCATCGGTCTGAACATTGCGACTTCTCGAGCTTTGGCTGAAGACGCTGGAAGAGCAGACGCGCGAATGTTTTGTAAGTTATGCGCATAATCGCTATGGGACTCCAGTTCTTGACCTCACGTTTGCTGCCGCCCTTAGGAAACATGACGAAGATAGAATTCAAACATCCCATCATGTCCCCAGAAAACCTTCCGGGGACATGGTTCATTCTCTGGAGACCTCTGTGGCGCCTCGTGGTACGGTTATGCTGACGTTTGTGGCATATGTGCGGTCTCCTCCTCTCCCTTCTCCCTACTCCCACCTGCAAAACAATGTGCTGCCAGGTCGTCCGAATGGTCTTCAAGCTTGGCGCGTTGCCGCTTGTTTTAATCGATGGCAAGCGTGTGCGCGCCTTTTTTCCGTGACACCGCGATCAGCAGTTTGCCGATAGTGGATAGGGGGGTCGTGGGTGAGCATCGGTGGAGTTGGCAGGGGACGGCCAGCCAGCGGGGGCGCTGTGTTGCGTGCCAGATTTTGTTGCCAGCGCTTCACGCGCGAGTCAGGCGTAGCGTGCTGCCGCTTGTTTGAATCGATGTCAAGCGTGTGCGCGCCTCGACTCCGTGGAACCGCGTCGTTCGGCCGTCTCCGTTGCAGACGGTGGACGGAGCAGGTCAACAAAAAAAAAAAAAAACGGCCCAAGGCGCGTCCGATCAGAAAATGCGTCGTCGCGTGGGAATTTTGGTTCGAGGGAGTCATGTCATGTCGTTGCTGCCCCGCCGACGTTTCAAGCCCGTTGCCCACCTTCTCCGTTTGCACCTCGCCTTAGTGACTCAGGGGTTCACTTAGCGACAATTTGCGTACGAGCAGGATGTCGCCTTTCTGAATCCCACCTCCACGCGGCAATCCGTGTACGAGGGGGATATCGTCATTTTGCAGCCCTCCTTCACGCTGCATTCAGCGTGCGAGAGCTTTGTTTCACTGCGCAGTTCTCCTCCACGCGGCAATCCTTGAAAAAAAAGACGGCTCAATAGGCCCCCAAGAGCGCCCCAAGACGGCCCAAGAGGGCCCCAAGACGGCCCCAGAGTCGCCCAAGACAGCCCAACAGAACCCCAAGATGCGCCCAAGAGGGGGACCACGACTTCAAAATTCGACCCTCCCGCTTGAAGAGTGCCCCAGGAGGCCCCAAGGAGCCCCCAAGAGGCCCCAGGAGGCCCCCAAAAGGCACCCAGGAGGCCCAAACAAAGCCTAAAGAGGCCACAGAACAGCCCTGAGGAGGCCCCACAACGGTCCCAAAACGGCTACCGAGAAGCTGCGAAACTGCCTTCACGACGTCCCCGACAGGCCAACCACGAGATCCAAACCAACACCCATGAGACCCACCACGCAGGGCACGGTGGCGGGAGCAGTGACAGCACTTGTGCACAGCATGTTCCGGCGGGAGCCTTCCGGAACACGCTGCAGGAGGAGGAAGAAGATCAGGAGGAGAGAGAGAGTTGGAGTGGGAGGAGGAGGAGGGGGACGAGGAGGAGGAAGAGGCCTCCCAGACAACTCCAAGATAGCCGAAGAGGCTTCCAAGAGGGCCCTGGGCGGCCCACGAGGGCCCCAAGGCGGTGTCTGAGGCGCCCAAGACGGCCCGAGAGGGTCCCAAAACGGCCCCAAGAGAGGCCCAAGAAGGGAACGACGAACCGAGAATCCGAGCTTTCTACCCCGAGAGGTTCTCGGGAAGTCCCAAGAGGCCCCCAATCGGATCCAAGAGGCTCCCAAGAAGCTCCCAAGAGGGCCGACGAGGTTCCAAGAGAGATCTCCCAAGGTGGCCCCAAGAGGCACAACTCATTGTTTTACGATTGGGCTTTGACGGGTTTTAATTTTGTTCTGCCTTTTGGCATCCCGATGCTCTAAGACGGCCCAAGAGGCTTCCAATACCGCTCCCACATAGAGGAAGAGGCCTCCAAGAGGGCCCCAAGACGGCCCGCGAGGGCCCCAAGACGGTGCTTGAGGCGCCCAAGACGGCCCGAGAGGGCCCCAAGAGCCCCAAGAGAGGCCCCAGAAGGGGAATGCGACCCAACAGCAGAGCGGTCCCCCCACAAGGCCCACAGGAGGCTGCAAGAGGCCCCCAAGTGGTCCGACGAGGACCCCACAAGCTTCCCGAGGGCCGAAAAGGCCCCTAGGAGACGTCCAAGAGGTTTGAAAATAGCCCAAAAGTGCCCTCGATGCGTCAAAACTGCTTCCAGTTGGCCCCCGGGAGGCTTCCAGATTGCCTCAATCTGGCCGCAGGTGGCCTCAAGTCGGGCCTCCACGCAGCCAAGGCGGCCAATTTCGCATTTTGCAATTTTCGCATTTCGCAAGTTGACAGCGTCCGGGGTGCGCGCACCGGCGCCCGGCCCTCGGAGCCGGCGCCCGGCCCCCAGTCGCTGCGACTCAGAACTGCCCGGCGAGAGCAGGTCTGGGCCCGACAGCCGACGAGGGACAGGTAGTGGTGTCACACACCCCTTCCCCCCCCTGCTGCTACGCAAGGCGTGAGTGGCGGGAAAGCGCCGCCCAACAACCACCACTCTCCCCGGGGAGCCCGGGCAGCGACGTTCGCCAGGGTGTCGGGCCGCGTTTCTAGCTCAAGGCCCGCAGGCGTGCATACCCCCCTCCTCGCCCAGAACCACTGTGCCGCTCCCCCTGGGATAGCCCGGTGAAGCGACACGGCGGCCGGGGAGGCGACGGGCACACACTGGGGCATGCGCACCAATGACGGCTTCAGATTGCAGAACCGATGCCCCCAAGGGACCCCCAGACGCCGCCCCCAGAAGCACCCAAGAGGTGCCTCCAACAGCCAGTTGACGAAGCATGCGGGACAACCCAGAAGCTCCTCAGATGCCATCGCGCGCCTGTGCTTGATAGCGGTGTCCAAGATCGTCCAGCGCCCCCCCGGCCTGGGCTAGAACCTGAGCGCGCGCGAAGCGCGCGCGATGGTTCTAGTGTGTATATATATATATATATGTGTGTACACACATATTTGTATCTATCTAGGTCTAATATAGAGAGGGGTGGGAAGAAAGAGAGAGGGAGAGAGAGAGAGAGAATGAGGAAGAGAGAAAGAAGTAAAGATGTGCCCAGGGCCAATCCCTCCCTCCCTCCCCCCCCCCGGCCGAGGCAGAAGTGGAGCTGGACAGAGCCGCGGGCCGTCCCGTGACTTCCACGCCCGGGTTCTCCTCTGCCGCGGGGCCAGATGAGGAGGAGGGAGAGCAGCGAGGACGAGGGCGAGAAGGAGGACAGCGGCCTGCCCTCCTCTCCCTCGTCCTCGCCCTGCTCGCCCTGCTCCTCCTCCCTGCCCTCGTCCTCGTCTGGCTCGCCTCGTCCTTCCTCCTTTTCGGAAGAGAAAGAGAAATGGATTGAAATAGGATGGACCCCTCCGCCACGCGAATCAGAACGCGAATGGTAGCCCGAGCTACACGAGGACCTCGCTCGGCTTAAGGTCAGCCCCTGACGCTGGACTTGTCGAGGTTTCTCCTGCGCGCGGCATCCCAATGGACGGCGCACGGCTTAGCTGAGGGTGGCAGCAATTGCGCGTTCCCAACGGCCACACGAGTCACATCTTGAAGAACTCAGCGCACCATAGTGCATCTGTGAAGAGGAAGGGTGGGCCCAGACTCATCCTGCACAACTCGGTAACTCTACCCCTCTAGTTTCCAATAAGCATGCCTCTCTGGAACAAAGAATCACATGCTTTACCAGAAAGAGCGCCTCCTACGCACGCTGAGAGGATGTCGGGGGAGGCGGTTGCGACCCCTCCCCCAAAGTCCACACTCCCTTTCCCCCCCTCCAAAATGAACGTCGGGGGGCGAGATCAAGCCCCCCCCTAATAAGTCAGGCGAGGGGGCTTCGAACGCCTCCCCCTCTTGGCGCCGGCAAACGACGACGACGACGTAATTCGCCTGTCTCGCCCGACCGACCGACTTGCCCACGACACACACACACACCGGCTGTCGGGGGGGGTCATTGTTCCAGTGAGGAAGGGGGATTTTCGGAGTGAGCGGGGGGGGGCAGTTCCACAGGGGGGCGGCACGGGGCATTGTCCGCCAGAGAAGCGTACACAGAAGTTGTTTTTTCTTTCATCATGCTACTCATGGTTCACTTCCCCCAAGGAGCTATACTTAGCAATTGATGCGTGCACGCTGTGCGCAGCATTCCGGACACAAGATCCGAATGTTTCGCGTGAGTGTTTCGTGAGTGTTTCGTGAGATGTGTGTGTGTGTGTGTGTGTGTGTGTGTGTGTGTGTGTGTGTGTGTGTGTGTGTGTGTGTGTGTGTGTGTGTGTGTGTGTGTGTGTGTGTGTGTGTGTGTGTGTGTGTGTGTGTGTGTGTGTGTGTGTGTGTGTGTGTGTGTGTGTGTGTGTGTGTGTGTGTGTGTGTGTGTGTGTGTGTGTGTGTGTGTGTGTGTGTGTGTGTGTGTGTGTGTGTGTGTGTGTGTGTGTGTGTGTGTGTGTGTGTGTGTGTGTGTGTGTGTGTGTGTGTGTGTGCGTGTGTGTGCGTGTGCGTGTGCGTGTGCGTGTTGCGTGTGCGTGTGCGTGCGTGTGCGTGTGCGTGTGCGTGTGCGTGTGCGTGTGCGTGCGTGCGTGTGCGTGTGCGTGTGCGTGTGCGTGTGCGTGTGCGTGTGCGTGTGCGTGTGCGTGTGCGTGTGCGTGTGCGTGTGCGTGTGCGTGTGCGTGTGTGTGTGTGTGTGTGTGTGTCTTGGTGTTCACGGCATTGTGAACAAAAATTTGGTGTTGCTTGGACTCTGCACGTCGATCACGAGATTGAGGGGACGACGGAGGGGGGAAGGAGGAGGAGGAGGAGGAGGAGGAGGGAAACCGAAGGGGGAGGAGGGAGGGGGGGGGAGTGGACGACGGAGGGGGGGAAGGAGGGGTGGGGGGAGGAGGAGGGGGAGGAGGAGGAGGAGGAGGAGGAGGAGGACTTTGGTCGTCGATCACGTCGATCACGAGATTGAGGAATACCGTACAGTTGTTGAGATATATGCCGCCGACGCCGCAGTTTACAGCACAGCCAGAAAATCTGGCCTCTTGAAGTTGTTGTTCCACGTTCACGTCTGCGTTCACTGCCAAGTTTACGCCAGCCAAGCACAGGAATCTAGCTTTGAGCCTTTTTGAGCCGTCTGGCGCACGGCGAGACGCCGGTTATACAATGCGCAATGTTGAAGTTTGCATTTCGGCTTCTCGAGCTTGGGCTTAGGACTTCGCGTGTGAGACGTGACTGGTTTGGAGAGGTTCAGGGAGAGTGTGACGCCCACGGCGCCCCCGACCCGATCAGAAAGATGCGATTTGCAGTGCAACTCAGTTTGCTTTGCAATGTTTTCGAAGGGGCCGCAGCTCGGCTTGCTGTCCGATCTTGGGTTGAGGATTCCGCATGTGAGACGGGAGTGGCTTAGATAATTAGGGTAACGGAGGGTGTGAATCCCACGGCGCCTTTGACCCGACGAGGAAATTGTTTGTTCGTTGTGCTGTTCTGTATTCCCAACCATCCTTTGGTGTTGGGTCCTCGTTTTGAAGAGAGAGCGCCCCGCGTTCCTTCCTCCTCCCTCCTCGCATTCCGGCGCACTCCTCACTTGTTTCGGAGCCCCACCGAAGGCAAGGCCCCAGCGGCAGGGTT